ACTGCCGTCATGAGAAAAGGGCCCTTATCTTTTGACGTCACAATGCTCAGAAAACGACGTCAAAGTCGCGGTATTGTAAACATGGAAGTGATTTTTTTGTCGACTGCGTTTTGTGTACACGTGTAGAGAGAAAGAATTAAAATTGGATTTTAAGGTGTAACATAATATCAAATTAAAAGAATTTTGATGCAGACAATTTTAACAAATAACAATTTTTTTACTATTTAGAACATTTTTTTTAATTCATCATCATGTTTCCGTGTAAATATTTTATATTACGTAATCCCAATGCTACATTGAGCACATCGTCAGGTTGAGCAATTAATAGCGATATCTGTATAGGTTGCAAAGCTACAGATATATTTGTTTCTGAGCAATTTGCAAATGCTTATATTTGACTGATACATTTATGTATTTATTATTCTTAATACTAAAGGTAGTTTGTATAATTTTTTTTTTTCAGAGAGAGAGAGAGCACTCAAAGTACATATTTACGCGTTGCTTAAAAGCGCTTTCTTATTTCAGAAAAAAAAGTTGTAAAACTGTAGTGACATATTTTGATTTTATTCCACAGTTTATCATATCGACAAGCACAGTAAGACAATTTAGTGTGCCGTCGTTTAAAAAAAAGGTGGGGGGGGGGTCATAAATGACAAGCAAAAAAGTCTCCAAATTAAAAGAACATCCGTTCAAAGTTCGAATCAAAAAATTTAAGAGAACCTTGTTTTGTGTGAAGATAAAGATACTGAAATATGAACGATTTGAACCTATTACAACAATTGAGGGTGTGTATTGGGGGGGGGGGGGGCAACTTTGAATAAATAATTTCGTACTTAAAATTAACAGGAAGAGAATATTCTAATGGAAAAGAATTAAGGGTACACCCCTCTGCTTTGATTCTATTGCTAAATGGTTAAATAAAAGGTTGTGCGTATGTCTCTGGTAATAATGTAGGTTTCGAAATCGCACATATAACTATTACATGTGTATATAGTATAAAAACTAAAACAAAAATATTTTAAAAGCTCTTTTGTATTTTCTTTTCTACAGTATTGTCGTATTCATTGTGGTACTTGAAAAAAAACTCAAATCGAAAAATAGTGAACGGTGAAATTTCATGATCCCGGAAAGCATTAGACCAATTGCACAAAAGTGCAAATGAATTTTAAAATACGATTTTTTTGCTTGAAAAAAATAATTTTTAAATATTTATGAAGATGCATTAAACATAATTTATGATAACATTTTCTTTTGTCTCTATTTTGTTTAATTTGTTCCGATGAAAGTCAGTTTGAAATAAACTTGCATTTTGCTTAGGAATTCAATACAGTTCATGCCCCCCCCCCCTCCCCCCGAGCATAACTCGATGTTGAAGAAAATAACAAGTACATCAACAGTGACATTTATTTTGAAAATATGTATAAACAGAAGAAACATATGATTAGGCTTTCAAGAAATCATTTACTTCCGAGAAATGACAATATGACATCTTTTAATAGAAAAAAAGTACTAGTAACAGGTGGCCATGGGTGTCATTCAAAATGATATAATTTTTTTTTTCAAAATGATCAACCAAATTAATATCAATCGCAAGCTCAATAAAGACAATCAAGAAATCTGCATTAAGGGAAAGATGAAAAATAAGAGCGCCTGTCTTCGTAGCTGCAGATCTGTAGCTCGTTGTTCTGCATGAGGAAATTGGAATGGACAACCGGAGAGTTACAGAGTCCCCCAATGAAATAAAGAGTATATTAATTATGCACAGAAAAGTGCACTGTTTCTTGATTTATGTCTCGGTCTTTTTAAACTGCCAGCTCAAAATATTACAAATTATAATTTCCTTACATGCATTATAATTGCATGATCTTCTGGCAAATATGAGGATTAAATCATATTCCCAGAGGTCTTCGCCCGAAGGGGATATGAATTTTATTGCATTAATGCCGAATTAATGTTCTTATTTCCCTCATGATCATGCAATGAATTGTTTGTTATACCAAAAACAAAAAACAACTAGGTTTTAAAAATAAACAAAAGCTTTAAATTTCGGCACAACTTTCAAATGAACATTCATTTTTAAAAAGTAGATTGTCTTCCCTATCTTTTTTTCTTTTTTTTCTAAGCATCCTCATTGGAAAGAAGATCGCTATTTTCGTCACTGTTTGGTAGACACGGTTTATAGGCATAACGGACCCTTTTCGTTGAAACGGATACTTTCAGTCAAAAGCAACGGACAATTTCCGATGAAACTACTGAACCAAAACATGATCAGTAATTAATGCGCTTTGAAACTTAAATCTTTGGTAGATGTACCCATTCTTTTATTGTCACTTTTGCTGCTCTTGGACTTTTTCGTTTTACAACCGTTGAAAATGCATTGCGGAAAAAAATGCACGATGTTTTAGAAGTGGTTGAATACATGTATGACGAACAGCATAACGACGAAAGGGAATCATGAGACTCAGTCACGTAACTGTTGGAACCAATCAGAAAGGGGTGGTATAGAACAGGTATAATGAGATATAATAAATTCTTTTACTACTTCTTCAACTATGATGGCCGTGGAATATGTAAGGTAGATTTTTTGTTAATAAATGACTAAGAAAGAAGGATTTAAATACAAACACGAACTTTTCGGTTTTTGTTAGCTCAAACATGGGTTGATGTTCTATACATGTCCGCGAGGTGAGAATTAATATTTTGCAATATGATCGCACCTTACTAAATTATTCCGACATTAGGAACCATTTATTACAGACACCAATCTCCTTAATGTTTTCTTTTTAAAATTACATCAGCGACTCTTAAGAAACGAGGTACCATTTGGAGTTTGCGAGTGTTTATTAGTAGCGTTGAGAAGGGGGAAATGTTTGAAACTATATTTTAACAATTAAAGATAACAAAATGGGGGTGAATAAAGATTTAAGAAAAAAATTAAAGGACAGAATCATTTATAATTGCTTTTAATAAATTGTGATTTACTCGTAAAAAGAAATAAGTAGACAAAAAGTATCAATTTTCATATACGGGATAAACTTTTATAAGGCAATGCTAATCCTAAGACTTGATTATGTGCCTCTTTTACCTTTTTTCTACTCCATAACTAAGGCAGGCCCAGAAATGAAATTGTATATTATTACGCATTGTAAACATGCTTAATTTTTTTTTCACAAAGAAAATGATCTTGGAAATAGAACTTTTTTTTTCAATATATGATTTTCTATGCACTACGGATTAAACTTATTTGAAACAACTTTACACAACATAACGTGTGTGTGAATATTTGTTCAAATTAAATTTCGTCGATGATACAGAGAATACATGAGGTTTTATTTGGGTTGGATATCCCCTTTCTCCGCGATACCTACCGGTATGTAGATTTTTTTTTTTTTTTTTTTTGAATTTTTTTATTTTTTTTTTTTATGTACAAGTGCTTAATACATTCTTTTAATTGCGCTAGAATATCAAATATAAAAACACGTGCATAAAGTGAAATAATTGCACAGTACAGTACATGTACATGTATTATATTTTCGAATGAATATTATCCATTTCTAGATCCTGTCTAGACATGCACCCCCCCCCCCCCCCACCTTTCGAAATTACTGAATATGCTTCTAGAATTCTACACATGTAATAACAAACTTAAAACAACTGTTTAATATTGACAATCCACATGTAGTTGCTTGGAAGAAGAAATCATATACTGTCTAAAGTTTATATGTATTTTTAAGGTTATTTGAATAACGACGTGACGTCATTAAGTATTCAATGAATAATGTCAATGTTGATTTGAAGCGCCTTACTAAAATGATCATAAAATAGTGAAAAAATGAGATATTTTTAAAAGTTATGTATATTTGAACTCAGAAAGAGTCGGGCTATCAAAATTTACCAAAAAGTCAATTTGTGAAATTTTGACCTTAAGGGCCCTTTTCTCGTGACGGCAGTCATATATATAGTGAGAAAAACAATTTTATAAACCACAGACAATGCATAAATATTTTATCGGTGGGGTAAATTCGTTACATAGTTTTTAGTGACAGGGTACGGGATGATACCTGGTTAGTAAATTCCGGCTTCGCCTCGCCAGGTATGAAATTTACTAACCAGGTATCATCCCGTACCCTGTCACTAAAAAACTATGCAACTAATATTACAAGTATTCCTTTATCCTGATAAAACCATAATAAAACATAATTTCACAGCACATGATATAACATGATATTGCAGTTACATGTATACGCTGTCAACAAAATATATATTTAAACAGATGTAAATGAAAAACTTAAAAGCAAGTGTTATATACTTGTTTACACCATAAAAATGAATTATTCTAATACAAAGTAAGATAAGATTGCCTTGATTACATATTCTACTTGCTTTATTTATTTACCTAATTAGATGTATAAAATAATATCATATTTGAATATCATCATAATTTCTTGCTCAAAGAAAAGTCAAGGATCACAATAACATTGTTTTTAAAAAAGGCTATGTTGACTGAGTATGCTTTTTATATGTACATGCATTAACAACTTTAATTATTTTAAAAAAATCTATATCGACTGTGTATGCTTTTTTATTATATGTACACGCATTAACAAAACTGAATACTATTATGTTGCGTTGGGGTCGAGCCATTTTCGTATGACTTGTTTCACCAATAAAGTACCTTAGTAGGACTTCAGATATTTTGTTTCCATCGTTCAAAGTAATAGTTCACAGAATCAAGATGTTTATGTGAGTAAAGAGTCATATGAATATACCAAATTTCTATTGAGTCATATTACATGTACAATGTATGTGTTATTCCCCTCCTAATCTTCCCTTACCTTCTTGACAGATTGAACTTTAGAGCTCTATTTAATTCCAGATGGTCCATTTAGACTGTGGAATGAAAGCAAATTGAAGCTTCAAATGAAAAAAATTAAAAATAGAAAGCCATGTAGTTTCTAATTTTTTTCTTCTTTTTTGCACCCTGTAATTCATTCATGAAACTGAATAATATATGTTGAAAGGAATTTTGGTATATTTGAAAAAAAAAATTACCATTAATGAGAACAGAAATATAGTTACAGGGAATGATAAGCCAGAAAAACGCATCCACCACATTTGTACACATAATATACATCGAAGCTTCAATATAAATACAACTATTTCTTGCTCAGTAGTACTTGCTAAGAAAATATTAAATTAATCGTACACCGTAATTCCGGAAAAGTCGAAAATGTGAAAAGCTTAAGCACAATAAATGACACACGTAATGTCACTAAAGATGTATAAATAAAAATGTTTTTTTCTCTTTTCACTTCATCAAATACAAAAATGTATTTTTATATATGTACATGTACCACATGATTTTATCTGTTTTACAAGAACAGTAACCATAAAATATGTTTTAGCTAAGCTACAACATCGTGGACTGTAAAGATCTTACAAAAAGCAATTTTGCATTAAATCTTCAAGCTGATGACATCAGTCACCGATTATCTACAAAGTTCTCGAACCTTGCGTTTCATATATAAATACCTGCCATAACACATACACAATACATAGGGTACAAAATAGTGTTTATTCCATCAACAAGAAGCAGATGTTTAATCAAAAACAAATTCAATAGCAAGTCTGTAATATAGTAACTCTGAAATATTAAATATCGCACTGTAGAAATTTGACAATTGTAGAGTCCCCCTTGACGCCTTCTATGAATTCCGGAAGTGACAGGAGCTGGTCCATGTTTTTATCCATCTTCCGGAACAACACTTCCGTTCTGTCCTCCGGTGTTTGTTCCTGGTCCTCTTCTTTCATTGATGGTCCCACCATTTTGTATATTGCCTGAATAGTTAAAAAACACAATCATTTGTAAATTAAAGAATGATCAGTATGTATTATTGTTCTAATACAAGATATTTTTTAACCAAGTTGTTTCCGATTTATCATTTCAACCAAAGTTACACAGGCAATATTTTGGAGACGAACCTTTAAGAGAAAGAAAACATTTTCCCCTGATTTTGAACACACCTTGTTTTATGCAGTGTTAACATTTAATTATTGTATTGTTCACAATAAGGGGGTATATAACTTAGTATCGGAAGGGAATCAACCTGTCCTTTATTTCACAGTTAAACTTGATTATTAAGGGAATCAGGAAGATTCCAATTCCCCACGAGCAAGCCTATTTTCCGAGGCAAAGCCGAGGGGAATAGGCTTGCACTAGGGGAACTGGGATCCTTGGGAGATAAGCTTGCTTTGGGGGACTTGAAATCTTGCTGATTCGATCCCTCAAATAGGATAGACTTCTGATTTCCTGAAAATCATTGTAATAGAACTTATTTCCTGTAAAAAGGTACGTCCACTTGTTAAAGTTCCGATTTGTTCCGAATAAATAATGAATATCTAGTAAGCAACACAGTTAGGTTACATTATGTATATAACAGCTAAAACTGATACATTTTGCAGGAAATCAGTCTTTCAACGGTGATTTTCAGGGAATGAGCAACATTTATCGATTTACTCTTACATGTACATGTATATAGGGAACCTTCAGTAGATGTATAATAACGAACGATAAAACTATGATATCTATTAGATATAATCTTTAATAGTTTGCTTGTCTTTATATTCAACTTTATGAAGCTTTTGAACTGCAACTAACATTCATGTTGGAGTGTCAAATCATACAGAGTTTTTAACCTTAGATTGAATTAAAGTTTTGGTCCAACCCCTAAGTATAACATAGCATCAGACACCTTAATGGCACCGGTGACGAAACAACAATCCTTTGTTAACATGTAACTAGTGAGTGTTGCATAAGTGGAAAATGAGTTAGAACAGTTTTCATCAGACACTACACTGCGGATATAAACCATATTTTACTTCAACTTATTTTTTGTTTACGATCATAGTATTGACAATGCACTATTACATATGAGTTTAGTTATACTGAAATTTGTTAGCAGTGGAATTTGTACTTAACAATCCACATTTTTGGCATATAAACTTAATGTGATTAATATTTGATTTTATCACATTTTAATCAGTGAAATGCTGAAATGCTGTAATTTATCCGTTCAATAATATTGATATTTTTATACTGTGAAAATAATGTTATTTTCTGAGAATTCGTTCGACACTGAATAATATACGTATACTATTAACTATATTGTTATACACTCTGCGTATGTACTAAATCTCCTGTTGAACGTTATGGAGTCTCCACAGGCGACAAATATTTATTAAACACTTCATTTATCATATGAGAATGTATTCTAAATGTATTCACTCTGCCGAGGTTTGGCGGTGTGCAACTCTATCGTTATTCATTGTGCTTATGTTCACGAGTAATCTATGTAAGGTACAATTGAAATACTGTTCACTGTGCTGAGGTGCTCGAGTAAAGGGACTTATGTTTAATCACCATGTTATTTTTGTGCTAATACTGCATCTACTAAGTGCTAGCTATCCTATGTGCCGAGGTGCTCGATTGGAGGATCTAACGTATAACTAGAGTGTTATTTATTGTGCTTTATCATTAGAATGCTAGGTGTTCACTGTGCTGAGGTGCTCAACGTAAGGATCTAACGTATTACTATAAAGTGTTTTCCCTTATAATTGGGCTAGTGACATTCTGTATCGGCAGAGAACAAGGAATTCAATTGTGCTGATACTCGAGTGAATCACAATAGAATATTATTTAAAGTAACATTACACGAATTTACAAGGACATGGCTATAATATGATGATAGGAAAAAAATATCATTGTAAATTTACTGAATAGTTCATTCAATTACCTTAAATGCTCATAATAAATTTACGCAGAAAAGGGTACCGTATCTGAGTGTTCCCAAACTATAAAACACGAAATGATACTCCTGTTTTTATTCAAGCCTTGATAAAAAAAAATCCCTGCTCTTGGTGACAACTGTCTCATCATAATTCTAGCTTTTTTTACTCTCTGGAGGGAATATTGTTGTCTAGCTCCGTCTATAAACTGAGAGTTACACTTTTATACTGTGAGGTTATCGTAATTTATGGATTGATTGAACATCATGGGAAAACAGAAGTATCTGGGGGACTGTTATAGGTCAGGTAATGAAATAGATTACTGTGAGGTTAACTTTTAGTGGAGTAATGAAGATCGATAACTTTTAATTAAATAACACTACTTTAAAACCATCTTTTCGCCTGGATAACTGTTTCGAAAAGAAGACCGCTAATTAAATTTTACAGATTATACAAAGATTATTGCATATTACGCAATAGCTTTCAGAAAACAGGTCATTAGCTTTCAAGATACCAGATATTCAGTTAAGTGTGTTCGTTTTAAATTTATTTGATAATCTTAAGTGCGTTTTCTCAATTTACTTCAGATTTACATGCAATATGTGTTATTCGATAACAATAAATACTTTACTTTCCTTTAAAACCAAGATAATTTTCAATAAAAAATTGAATCTACAGGAGATACGTGAAGTTACAATTTTTAGAATATTGAATAAGGTTTGAGTAGTAAAATATTTTTTAGTTATAATCTTACTTTGATAATTTCACGCATTTCATCTTTTGAGATGTAACCATCGCCATCAAGATCGTATATCCGAAATGCAAAGTGTATCTTCTGCTCTAGGGTTCCTCTGGAGGATACGTTTAACGCACACATAAACTCCCGAAAATCTAGTGTTCCATCTTTATTCTCATCAAATGCCCTAAACACATGTTCTGCGAACTTCGATGCGTCGCCAAGGGGAAATAACTCAGAGTATATGTTTTTAAATTCGTCTATGCTCAAACTTCCGCTTGGACAGTCGTTAATGAACCCTTTATACCACTCCTGTATTTCCTCTTTGCTGAAGTTCGTGTTCAGGTTTAGATCCGCCAGTTCTTCCGGTCTCAGTTTGCTGTTTTGTTTCCCCATCCTGCTCTAAAAACTGTAGAATGCTTCAATGGGAGGAGAAACTAGAGCTAGGAACTGTTCTTTTCGATACGTGATGCAATGCAACCAAATGCTGTCTGTAATCTAATAAATAATGTAATTATGAATTCTCTGCAATTAAATAGAGAATGTCCAACACAATTTGCTAAAAATGTATCCGTATTTCCAGATGAACAATGTCAGTTTGTTTAAGGTTTGAAACCAAACGCATAAATGACAAATCTATAAATAAATTCTCATAAAACATTTCACTGCTTTATAAATTATTCATTTCAAATTCCTCTTACGGAAGTCATAAAAGCACTGATGAGAGAGACAGACCGAGCTTACTAAGACAATAGGCAATCATCGGTTGATTCTTGCCTCATTTTAGCTGGAATTACCGGGGAGCTCAACACAGTCCGAGTTCTGTGATAAGTGCTTAGTAACTCCACTGTATCCCAGGGCACTGATATTGTCGGGATTGTAGCGCAATAGACTCCGTATCACGATTGGAAAGTCAGAAAGGAAAACAGCGATGTTTAATGCATTTTTTATAACGTTTGAAAGCCGTAGTTCTATGAGAAAATAGATCAATACAATGCTTAAAAAGAAATTAATGACAAAATAAAAATTATTCAGATCAGTGCCTGTATTTTGATACATACCTCTTTCTACGTTACAGGAGAGTCAGTCCACAAACACGGAGCCAGTTGATGCACAAAGTAAAGGCCTTCTCATTCAATTAATACAAAGATATAATTAATCATTTTTTTTAAAATAAACATGTACATGGTGATGGGACAAAGGTTCAAACATTGATTTAAAATTCCCCGATGAACCGATCTGTCATTTGTAATCAGAACAGGAACGAACTTGAATATTGAGCAAGATTGTTTACAACGGCAACCTCGGTTCAATACTTATTTCAAAATTCCTTTATCAATATCATCTATTGATAATCAGACACTAAAGTAATTAAGGCTTCTTTGTCACATAAGAGGTCTTTACGTTTATACAAAGCGATATTAATCCGATGTTGATTTTATAGTATTTATATATACAATAAGCTCATTATATTTTCCGGCAATAAAACATATTAACTTAAGAGATTTATTTTAGGCCATCTTAAAATGTTGTCTGTTTGTCCTATCCTAACCGACTGGCTAAAAACAAATGGCCCGACTCAAAAGAAATTTTAAAACCTACAGGAAAAGTTTATTTTTCTTATTAATTCCGGAATTTTCATATCCCATCACCATCTATTTTGATTCTATTCATATCACCAATATCAAATTCAGCAATGATGTTGAAAATTTCTAGGGAAAAAATCCCACCTACCTACTGACTTCATTTTTTTTATCCGCAGTTGGGAGAGGACAAACTTTTTTTAGACGGCCTAACAGAAACACACAATGTCAATAAGTCGTGATAACTAGCTACTAGGGATTGTCCGTCAAAATCGAATGCAGTTGGATAAGGTTAATTGTACCCATATTTACTGATATCTCCCGAGCAATTCACAACTATAAAAAAAACCCAACAGTTATTCCCTACTTATTTGGACATTTGCTAATGGTATGAAATCGACCACTCGTGACAAAGTTAGATCAACAACAAACACAAATCTGTCGCAGTGAAACTAATAATACAAGATATTTAGATTTCTCAGATGTATTATTTAACAATGTGTTCAAATAGGCATCCGATTCAAAGCCAGTGTGCTGGCAATTGTTAGGCTTGGTTTCTCATTTCGTAAATGAATACTGCATTACACCCGCAAAGCCTGGTAAATCAGTGTCTGATCACACCTTTAGGAATCGCGCAGTGATTAAACGTACAGAAGACCTGGTGGATGAAGAGATCGATCACGTGATTGAAAATATTTAAGACAATTATCGTCACAACTCGTTCTTTTTTCTAAAGCTCACACGGGGAAAATAAATGAAATGTGTGACATATTACTCAATACACCTTGATGTAGAATAGCCTAATACAAGATGAAACTCTTACAATGTTGAATTATTCATGTTATTGTCAACAGGAAAAAATTGAACAATCATCAATGTTTAAAAGGGTTTATGTTTTAACTAGATTTAACACGGTTTACGTTTTAACTAGATTCAACACGGTTTACGTTTTAACTAAATTTAACACATTTTACGTTTTAACTAGATTTATCATTGTTTATGTTTTAACTGGCTTTAACGCGGTTTATGTTTTAAATAGATTTAACACGGTTTATGTTTTAAGTAGATTTAACACGGTTTACGTTTTAACTAGATTTAACACGGTTTACATTTTAACTGGATTTAACACGGTTTATGGTCGCCCGCGTGGCGCAGTGGTTAGAGCGTCTGCTCTAGAGTCTCGTAGTAAGGAGTTGATTCTTATGTCGCGGGTTCGAATCCCACTGTGGGACGTGGAGACCGGTCCTTCGGATGAGACGGTATAAACCGAGGTCCCCTGTCGTAGTAGGTGCTGACACGAAAAAGATCCCTCACTGTTCAATGGCTGTAAGTGCCGAGTATAGGACAAAATTTCAGCTCTCCACCGGCAAGTGGTGGCGTCTCCATATGAGTGAAAAATTCTCGGGAGGGACGTTAAACAACATACAAACAAAACAAGGTTTATGTTTTAACTAGCTTTAACACGGTTTATGTTTTATCTAGATTTAACACGGTTAATGTTTTTAAATGTTGTGATTGGATATAATTTTTATCCAACGTGTTGTGAGTTTTCTAGGGAAAAAAAGAGCTAGATAGAAATAACCAATCAAAAAACACCCGAAGATAATCTCTTAATCTAATTTGATAATATACTGTCATGTTTACTTCAGATGGTTTACATAGTCAGCGGTATTTTCCTTCTGGAAAAAATGCCAAATTAAAGTATATTTTTAAAATCGAATCTGAATGGGAAGGGATAACTCTATTATTAACTATATTGATGGATTTACAAAGGTTATTAAAGATGGATACCTTTTTACATGAAAAAAAAAAAAATTGAAAACTTAAAAGAACTTGGTCGTCTTATATATGTTGATGGTAAATTAAATACATTTTCCTACAATCATATTAAGCTGGAATTGACATAATATAATGGTATTCGTCTCCAGTATCATTTTCACATAATGTACAGAGTCTTTGATTTGAAGGTATATTGCTCCATCGGCCTGTCATAACTTTATTAGCTATTATATAATGAATAAGAGGATTTTACAAACTCATATGATTATATATTTATGTTTATTATATGATTGAATAAGTCCTTTCTCTCTGATTGGCTGAGATCTAACAATGTAGAAAAATACTACGTTATATTCACCTGCACGTGACCTTCCAGGTGAATATAAGGATTTATTTTCACCACATTAGACTTAAAATAAATCGGGAAATTCCAAATTGATGCAAATAGTTTTGGAAAATTATTTCACTTACATCTGACTTCCACTCATATGAACATAACATAAAGGCACATAGATCCTTGGGGAAGGGATCGAGGTGAGGGTGGTGGTTGCAGAAGGTCTGTCCCTCTCCCCACCTTTTGATAATGTAAAGTTTTAATTTAAAATTTTAAGGATAAAAATTTTCAGTGAAAGCCCCCTCCCCTCATTTATGGACCTTTACATCCCACCAAATAAATTTTTGAGTGGGGAGAATTCTTTTGCTCATGCTGGGATTACTTTAAAAAATAATATAAACTGAACCCTAATTTTATTACTTTTATGGCAGTAATTCAATTAGTTTGCGAACTTCTTGATCACCCTTCGTATATAATACATTTCCTGATCAGCTGGGATACCTGTCCGGGTTCTTAAATCTTTAGCGAACAGGGCCATATTCCGTAGTAAGATATACTGACTGACTGGGCATCAGGTTCCGAAACCCTTTCTACTGTACTGAGAACATGGGTACTCACCAGGCCATGTGAGTTGTGACTAGTGTTTCAATACCGAAGAGAGGTCAAGCCCCTATGCATGTATGGTATTACCTTCAGGGCTATCACGTAGGATCACTAATTTGATAGTATCCGTGAACGACACAAAATTTACTAATCGCAAAAATGTTCTCTGTCACTGTATCGTCTGAACCATGTTTTCGTTTAATCCGATCCACTCCATCGCCAATCGGTGTATTATTTTTAATGTAAGATATTTGGAGTATAAAAATGCTTGTCAATTCTTAACACCTTAAAAGGGAACAATTTTAAATTGCAAAATACTGACAGTATAGATAGATAGTTTGGACGGACTTCATTTTGCATAAATAATAATATGTCATACTTGATTACAACTTCTTATTAAATTACCATTTTGATATAATTACATAAATGTACTTTGATGTGAAATTCATAGTGATTTGTTATATAATTCAATTTATGAAGGGATGCTTAACTTTTTCTTTATATACAGATGTAGTTAAAAAAAGAGAGAAAATGATCCATTCATTCTAAAATATCAACAGCATAAAATGACATTTGGCGATGTTCTTGAAAATCGTTCACGAGCAGGTGGTATTTATCAAAGAAAATCACAAGTACTTTGAGAGAGAGAAAATTGGTTCATATATTAACATATTTAATAGGTAAAAATATGAAGTTACAAGAAACATATCTAGCATTCATATTATGTTCAAAGCGTGGACGTAATACAGCACAATTATAAAATTTGATGTCTCACTTTTTTTGAAGAGGACATAATTATTTGCACATGCAATACAAACATATAAGGTCTCATATTACACGTTCTTTTGTACATATTTCCCTGTACTTTGACACATAGTGGCCAATTATTACGAAGTGCTAAACTGGAAATGATTCTTAAATGATACGTACCTCTCACATATACAAGAGGGATTTGATATTAGACATTTGTCAATAAACAATTTCCTCCTTGAACTTTTAACCGTCCCTTTTCATTGAGCAGTCGCCTAATTATTGCTCAACAAAAGGAGTAAGTGAGTATGTCAACTTCTCCTCAACAGAAGATAGTGCTGGCTCAATCTATCAGTTCCTTCCGTGGTAAGATTTAGAGCTTTGATTATGAACCATGACTAGTATGAAGGATATAGATACAAT